CAATATAATTAAGTAAGTCTGATTTTTATATCCCCGAGCAAAGTACCTAATATTACAGTCATTCATCGGCTATGCATGAAGCATAGAGCTGAAAGTCGTGCAGCTGGGTACCCCGACTGTCAACAATACTGTTCTTAAATAGACAAGTGACTTACGTCGCACTCTATCCTGAAACACCAAGATTGACGAGTGCAACAAATAAAAAGGTGTTTTAAGCGCTAACGGCTCCAGCGAAATTCCAGGAGAAGTTTCTAAACAGAGCACATTTTGCTTCAACGCTAGCTTTTCAGTTTAACTCAATACGATCCACTAGATGGCTTAAAAGTAAAATCAAAGATACCTGCAATATAATTAAGTAAGTCTGATTTTTATATCCCCGAGTAAAGTACTGAATACCACAGTTGATCATTGACAGTGCACGAAGCAAAGGTAAAATAACTAAGTCTGCAAAAAAAAGATGATTTAGATGCCAACGTCTTTGGTATAACTTCAGGAGACGTTGAGAAAGAGCTCTACAAGTAGCTCTAACGCTTAAGACGTTGTAGTTTCCCTCCCGGTTAGTTTGGTGCGACAATAACAGATCAGAGAAGATCACCCTGAGGTATGGATACAGTTACGTTTGCTAGAAACTTCAGTTAAGATAGAGTTTACTTAAAAAGCTTACCAATCCTTGGCCATTGGACGTCGAGCTACATTGCCAACAAATAAGTATATTTTAACTTTAAAAAGTTGACAAAAACAGCTCTCAAAAGTCTTAACTATGCCAAAAGTCGCAAGAGGGCAAATTGGAAGGAAAATTTCAAATACAACTAATGTATACAACTTTAGGCGTCAAGAAACTTTTATCGGGACACGGAACATTCGTTGAGATTGAAGCAGCAGCATCAAAATCAACAAATAGAGAATTTATTAAGTGAGAGATTAGCTCTTCATTATCACCTTTGCAGTAATCTCCTAGATCCTCCAGATTCTTAAATAAGTAGAATATATATTTGTATTTTTGTGGCGATAAAAAATGTAAGGATTAGACTCCAAGACTTCTTGTAGCATAAGAACGAATGGTACTTTTCAGCATTTTTATATTTTTTTCGCTTTAGATATCTCATATTTTGATCAAATAAACTGTATGGATTCCAGACAAGTATGTTCTTTAATAAGAAAATTTTGGTTTTGAGAAGTGTAAGAAATAGATGTAAAGTTTTTAACTAAAAACGTTTCATATTACATGTCAACACGCTATCGTGCTTCATCTAGTGCGTCTTCGGTAAAGCCAAGACAGGGACCGCTAATTTCTCTAAGTAAAATTAAGAAAAAGTTCATTATTTAATATTCTCTACCGAATTTAAAGGAATTTATTATTTAAAATTAGTAATAGAATTATGAAACACTCTAAAATCTGATGAGGGCAGCCAGGTTAGGCCCTGCTAGTCCCAATATCGCTGGTGATAGATATAGCTATAGTTCAATGAGGTGTGCCAGCGAGCTATAGTGAGATATAGCTATAGTTGAACAAGCTGCGCTAGAGTGATGTAGCTATAACATGAGATGTAGTGATTGTTTAACGAGCGGTATTAGCGCGTTATAGCTATAGCTATTAAGGCATAGCTAGTGTACCATGAGCTACGCGAGCGATATATAGCTATATTCCCACGAACTGCGCCAGAACCACTACTGATTCTACTACGCCAGAACGTCTATATATCCCAATAGCATGGGGTGCGCCAGTACTCTCATAGCTTATCTACATTTCTGGATTCTAGCAAAATTAGATTTCATTCTAACATTTTTTTAGATTTATTTATGCAAAAATTTTTCATCTTTATTTAAAACGTAGTAAGAATTTCGATAACGTAAAAAGCTTACGGCCTGGTCAGAGCCAACAAAGGATACAGCTTTTATGTCAGGATTATCACAAATGAAGTTGACAGCCTCTTTTTCACCATGTATGATATTTAAGAGGCCAGGTGGTGCACCAGCTTCACTAAATAGTTCTGCCAGTATTAAAGAGGCTCCAGGAGTTCTCTCGGATGGCTTGAGGATAGTTGCATTACCACAGGCTACGCTGATTGGAAACGTCCAAAGTGGCACCATAGCTGGAAAGTTAAAAGGGCAGATGGATGCAGTA